GCATAAGATTAATTCTAACCTGCAGATGGAAGCCCTGAACTCATGTTCATCCCCACCACTCTCAAATATTACTGAAGATTTTGACAAATTTATGCCCTTTTTACTCAGTCTTCATTCCTTCAGTTATAGAAATGGGTGCTTCCTCAAAACTTATCATGTGGCTTAAACACTGTACTTTCCTTGTTTTTTCTGTTTCTTTGCTTTTTTTTTAATCTCCTTTGCAGTCTTTTTTAAATGTACCTCCACCACCCTCTGATTCTTATTCTTCTATGTTCACTTTATCATCAACAGACATCAGTAACCAACTCTCATTAGTGTGATTTAACTGATTAACATATCCCTGTAACTACCTTGACAGCAGGAAATGTCAAGGAAATGTGAAAAATGATTTTCTCATGCTAGTGCCCAGCACAGTGCACGAGACACAGAAGATACACTCACATCTGTTGCATGAGTATTTGATAGATGACAGAGGTCAAAGAAGAGTTTATCCTCAAAAAGTCAGTGTTTGTTTACCTTCAAAGGTTCCGACATGATTTCTACATGGATGATTCTTTATTTTAAATTTAAAACTCTTCTACCACTCATTTCTATATTGGTAATCACTAAAATGGAGCTCCAATCATATCACTCACCAGCTCAAAAACTTCAATGCCTTCCCCATTGTATACTAAAATGAACCCAACTTAACTTTCTAATCTTCTCCCTATTCCCCACTCCAAACTGTTTAATAATATTTTACTACTTAAGCATTCACATTCTTCTCCCCTATAAGGAGAAGTTAACTGTGCCCTGAAAACCAGGTAAATTCAAAGACTTCTATTTCCACAGAGGAAAAAATAGCATATGAGTTAAAAGATTCCTTCAAGTGATTGTCCATTTCTAAGACAATTCAAAATATTTTTAAGTTCCTATTTATATGGACATCAAATAATTAGGCATAAATGACACTAAATAAACTGCTATCAATAATTCACTTTCAAAGTAACTTTGAGAGAACACCAGAGAATCAACACAGGTATGTGTGTGTATATGTATGCACTAATATCTTCACATCACCAATGCTATTTAAAATGATGGCTGAGATGGTAAGATATCCTCAAGTGCCTTTTGTATCACAGCTCCCAGCACATCCAACACAATTTTAGTGCCAGATATTTTTAATTATTACCAATCAGAAAAAAATGGAAATTTAGGTAGAATATGAACTAGTAGTATATGTTTACCAGAGTATTCGATGAGAAAACCATCTTCCAAACTACTAAACAGGGATCATCTATTACCCACCCAACTCCCAAAGAAAGTTTCTTACTGTTGTATTCATGATTCCTGTGCCATGTGTTCGAATTGAATTAGCAATATGCCGAATATTAATAGTATTCAAATGTTTGTTATTGCTTGTTCGTTCAATAAAAATCTGCAATAAAATGAATTTATATTCAATAACAACATAACCCATAGCAAACACTGGTCAGTTATCCAAAGAAAACTTTAGAATCTATTTCATTAAAGATAATTTAATTGAAAACCCATTCAAGAAGACAGTACAGGTTGAGTATCCCCAGTCTGAAAATCTGAAATCCAAAGAGGTCCAACGAGC